TAAAAGTAATCTTTTAAAAGAAACTAAATTTATTATAACTATAAATATTAGAAAACTAGAATTAAGAGACCATTATCTATATAGTAACTAGCTACTTAGTAATTAAAGCTTTATTAATTAATAAGACTTTACTATATTAAATTCTTTCTATAATACTATATCTTCTCTTAAATTTATTAAGCTAGCTAGTACTAAATTAAGATACCTCTATATTATAATAGATTAGCTATCTAATACTAACAGCAAAGTATAGTAGCTTTATAAAGGTTATTCATATTAGTACTTATATCTATTTAATACTAAAAGTAAAGTATAGTAGTTTTAAAAAGGCTATTTATATTAGTAGTTAAGTTTTAATCTAAAGCTACTATTTATAGAGTTATATCCTAAGCTCTAGCTAGTACTATATAGAAAGTCTTTTCTAAGTAAGACCTTTACTAGTATACTATTATAGCTAACTATTCTTAGGAAGAATAACTAGTCACGGGATTTATACTCGTAAAGAGGAGTATTAAGTAAGTAAAGTAAGTAGTATAATGTATAGTATAAACTAAAGGGACTATTAGAATAACTATTTAAGTTAAACGTCGGACCTCCTAGTAAGTTCCTACCTACCTATATACCTAATAGATTATAAGTGTAAGCATGTTGCTCTATATGCTCTATTATAGCCTACTCTATTATTTCCCTATACCTTAGTAGAATAGAGCACTCTACCGGAAGAGCTACGCGCTCCGTCCTACTATATTGCTCTACTTAATAGAGCATAACTAAGCATATAGAGTAATATGCTTACACTTATAATCTATTAGGTATATATATAGGTAGGATATTACTAGGAGGTCCTACATTTAACTTAAATAATTATTCTAATAGTCCCTTTAGTTTACACTCTATAATATACTACTTACTTATTACAATCCACTATTAGCTAAGGGTCCCTTACCCGCTAAGATAGTAAGTAGGATAGCTATATGCCGATCCTTACTCGCTTGATAAATAAGCTGACCTATAGGCGTTATTGTTAGGGTCATCCTAACGACTTACCCGCTTAGCGCGTAAGCTATAACGTGGATTCTTACTCCCTTATGTAGTGAGCTATCTTCCTCTGGGACGTTGCTAACAAGTTGTTATGTCATGTTTCAAACCGACATCCGGATGGCGCCGTTAGCATAGAATTCTTACCTGATGGTCAAGGTTACGCCACTTTCTCGTGACTTTACTTTGGAATGTGATAGGCGAGAGCACACTTGACAGAGGTATTAGTGCACATGGATGTCAGAAGTACAAGCTTCCGCTCAGATTCTGTCTTTCCTCAGGAACCAAAGCTAGAGCTGGGCGCTGGACAGATTCGCCAAGCGGTCGTCGAAAATTTACGAGGCGACTCGATGTCTGTTGCCATCACTCACTTCCGTGTCTCGTCTCTACCCTGCCCAATCTGGGTACATACACGGAATACACAGATTACACTCAACCATCAGGTCGTCACCACCAATGTGCCTTTTTCGAATACGTCAATTGGCCTCCGTTGTCGTCTAGGGGAAGCACGCCGATCTTCGTTTTCACTCCTCCAGCAGCTGGAAAGGTGTACAGTACTACGTCGTTTACCGGAGGTGTTATTTTGTTGTTTATCACGGGCGCCCCTGCTTGTCCAGGAGGGACGACGCCAGTCACGATGTTCACGCCACGCGGCGGTTCTGTTACGTACACGGCCACCTTCAATGTGGCTTCCGCATTAACCTCAAGAGGTGTGCCTACATCATCCGGAGGTAACACACCTGTCTACGTTCATACGCCACCGACACAAGAGGGCTTTATTACTACGACTGTGCCTGGAGGGGCAAAGCCGTCGGTCGCGACTGGGAGCCCAGCTTACCTAGCTGGCCCGATAGTCACGATTGTCAGACCGGCAATTTCCATGACTGCTAGTCTCTCCAATGGCAGTATCTAATCTACTGTCACGGGTACGCCCGCCACACCCAGAGGCTCAACGCCAGTGGCCGTGTTCACGCCCCCACAATTCGTCACAACCATTGTTCCCGGAGGCAGCAAACAATTGGCAGTAACTGAAACCTCAGCTACAGCCGTAGGACCGACACCAGTGACTTTTTTCGCCCCTTCGCGATCCATCACGACGTCAGTGCCAGGAGGCAGTAGGTCGACGGTCACCAAGATCCCGTCTACACCTGTCGGCCCGACATCTGTCATAGTCTTTGCACCTCCAAGGTACAGCACTACTACAGCCCTTGGTGGTGGAACTTCGTTAGCGACTTCAACGGGTGCAAAGCGGTGCTGACGGCGGTGGTCTGTTTTAGACTTCCCCGGCAGCGTCACTCTTGTTTTTACTGGATAGTGTCAGGAAATGGTTGTGTCGTTTGTGTGACCATACTTGCAAACCGATGTGAGCCCGTGTGGTATGAACGGTGATTACCCGTCACGACCCTATAAATCTTCTCGTCGGGCTTTTCTTCTGTCTCTCATCTACAGTTCTAAATCAATCGAACAGTCTGTCATGTACTTGTTCAGTATCACAAAGCACGGCGCGCCCCGCTATCCCGATCGATCTAGTCTTCCCACTCGTCGACACATGGAACCCGCTTAGTTTTAACATCGAATGGCCCATCATCTTTCCCTATGTTCATCTGTCTCCAACAATAGCTTGTGCTACCACTCTCTGGGCCCTGTCAGGGACAGCATGTCTCTTTTCGGATCCTGCAAGATACCAGACTAGCGATGCGTAGACCATGATCAGTGCAATGGATACTCTGAACAACTGTCGCATAGTTGCTAAATTCAGTCCCTGTGAATTATTGAAAGCAATCAATCGCACCGAGTGACCAAACAACTATTTTTACGCCGATCAGAGCTCGCGGCTTACAGCACAAGCGAGAGCGCGAGGACGCGAGAACGATTTCTTAGGCACACTGTCTTTCGGAAGTGCCTCACATACTCTGCTGACAGCAAATGTTGGGCGGGGTCGAAGTTGTCATCGAAGATCTCGATACCCTTGCTGACAAAAGGATAAATTCTGAATGCGAGACGGCTAGAAATGGGGAATGCTATGTTTACGAGGACGGTAATACATGCCCGAAGATGATTGACGGAGAGGTGGTCAATCCACTTTGGGGAGTCACTAAGTCGGGAAAAGCACGGAAACGTCAACCACAAGCATGCCTGTCAGTCGTGCTAGAACGCTTGGGATTGTCGTACTAACAGAGCTCAGAAGATGTCGCTCCAAGTGGGTCAAATGTGAGTTGAGCGGTGAGGGCTGTCTTCCATGCAAGCTGTCCAAACAGAGATGTCAGATGTTCGTTTTCCCTGTAGGATGGTCAATCAATCGCTGAACCGGTAAAGCGGACGTTCTAGCGCCTCGCCAAGGAGCTCGTTCATTGCGCATGAGCATCCACACCGTTCTGATAGTCGAACACTTGCTGGGCAGAAGCCGTCAAGTTCGAACAATGTCTTATATACCGGGACCTTTGTCCAAGCAAGCATGAGTCGAGTCGAGTCGCAAGCGCGACCTTACGCATGGCTAAACATAGGACGGCGATGTCCAAGATCCTCCATTGGGATGGAGGACCCATATGTCGTCAATCGCGAAGCCACTCTGTGTTTTCTTGAGCTATTCTTTGCACGATCAGCCGGCAGTTTGAGCATGCTGTTCCCCCAGATCTCTTTCACCCGATGGGTACGAACGTCGCAACAGAAGCACTAAGACGAATGCACTGTGCTCTATGCTATGCTGGCGTTAGGCTTCATTTTTTCCCGCCACTACTCAATTTAGCGCCTTTGCGGAGTTTTGTCGAGACAAGCTTTAACAAGCAGCTCCTCGGATCGACAGCAATCACACCATTCGGACCGTCGTCTCCGCTACTCTGTCTTCCTTTTGATCTTGCTGGATTAGATACCTTGTTACTTTCTTCTCATGGCCATCAATCCATTAGGTCGCCATAGCCTTGCTTACTTTGGTAGATTTGCCTTTGGGCTATGATGTTCTATCGCTGCTGAGTGACTTCCAGGTTATTGCTTTATATCGCTTCGACGTCAACTCTTGGGAATGGGGTATCGGCGAGTCACTCTACCCTCCTTCGTATGGCTTTCCGACCTGCTTCCCACGACAGGTAGCGTGGAGCTGTTTGGGCCCTCCATCATGTCTCCTATACTTATGACTGTGTGTATGGCTTTCTGATCCGAGCCGGATTCTTTCTTCGATGGTTGACAGGGACCTCGGTCATCGAGTATCATGTTAATCCATTACGTTGCCATGTTGATGCTCCTCTCTGTGTGAGTAGCTGTGGAATGTTTTTCGCAATGGAAAAAAGTGTCCTGCCACCTTCTCCCTTTTTCCTGATGCCACCTCGTTCTCTCCCCAAAAAATGTCGTGGTAGTTGAAGTCTTCTGCAATGACAGTCTCTGAATGTTGTGCATTGACAATCTTCGAATCTTGTGTATTGTTACACTCTCTTGTGATCGCATCTGGGTGTAGAGCTCTTGCTCGTCGAATACTTGGCCGCTGCCTATACTCGGGACGTATATCTCCTCTAGCAATATGCTACGCATCCCATGCTTCACGATGACAGTCGTTCATTGTAATCTCTCTCGATGTATTCCTACCATTGTTGGCTGGTGTAGACCTAATCCCCTCTAGTTCTATGGAATATGACCTTCTCTGTGCTTCTGGCTACTATACTTGTAGCCATCGGCGAGCGCTTCTTCTCTGTTGCACTCTAGGGGGCTTCCCTCTGCTCCATCCTGTCTATCTACTCTTTTTTTTTCTGCATGCTCCCCTGTGTCTGAATCACTGGTCTTCACTTTTTCGTCGTCCCTGAACACCACCCGGCATCTCCTCGTCGTGCCTCCCTTCTCTTGCTATGCCTCCACTTGTTTCACCTCCTCAGACCTGTGTCGTAGCACAGCCGCAGGATACTCTGGTCATCGAGAAGTACTTTCTAAAGGTCGAATCTTCCTCTTCCCTCGGTTTTCGCTTCAGAAAACAGATTCGAGGCTCGTGGTCTGCTCTTGCGCTAAACAAGACACCAGTCAGTATACTTGCAGACCAGTCAAACCGGTGTTCAGTGCTGCTAGCGCTAGACATACATGCATATAGACCTGGAGCATCTCTCGTCGTCGAAGGAGCTGTTGGTCGAGCGATATACAAGCACTGGCTAGAGACCATGGTGTTACTTCGATGGGAGCCCCTCCCCGGAAGGAGCTCGATAATTATGATGGATCACTGCTCGACCCATGCTCAGATCATGTATGTGGCAAATTTTGGTGCGAGCGCCATACTATATTGACACCTGATAGATCACTAAACTGGGCCGCCAATTCGGTGTATATCTGCTATGCCGGTGCTCATATTCACCGCACCTTGACCCTATCAAACAGAGGGTCCGCCAGTTGAAGCAATGGCTGCGTGAATGGGTTAATGACACCGAGGGCTGACGACATAAACTTGAAAGCGTACATACCGCAATCTTGCAGCTCGAGCGTGCAGTTCACTAGACTCTAGGCGGTATCAGCATCAGGAAGCTGTTAGAGAGGAGCCCCATACCGTCAAATCTGATCGTTAAAGATGTCCTAGGAGGAGGAGGAGGAGTATGCGCCAGCCGCCATGAATCTCTTAAGACTTCATCTCTAGATCATAAAAACGGCTCGATATGATGGAAACTAGATGGAACGTGTTTTTAGTTCCTATCGGAGCACAGCGAGGAGAGACGAACAATGGGTTAGAACCATCAGACTAGGGGCTCGTAGTTTGCCATCGGACCTTTTCCCCAAAACTCACAAGATCCTACGAGCGGAGACAGTGGGCCAGATCCTCCTTTGCGCCGATGAAGGAGCTGTGAAAGTAGCTGTCATTGGGCAGTGCTAAAGGTAGCTGGTCATAGGCTCACAAAGCTATGTATATTCAGCAAGCAGCTGGTCTCCGGGATCTGTGCAACTATCTACAACCAGTTGGGCCAAAGTTTGCACTCGCCTCCGCCTCTTGCGCGGTGTTAATGTCATTCCTAAGCAGCCCAGGCACTTGCGAATGCTTGGACAAGGTCTTTACTGGGATGTTTTCCACGAAGTGAGGTACCTGCGTGAACGCTTTAGTGCCCCCTACAGTCTGGAGCAAAGCAAGCGACCACAAAAATTCGACGTCAGTCCGGATTGGGCGATGCGAGTCGTCTGTACGGTACACTGTGCCCTTGCTGTCACTTCTTAAGATAGCTGCATGGATGTCGACACAATTGAGTGTTTTGCGCCAGCATTCCCCATAGCTGAATATGCAGGGTTGGTCGACATCCGGTTCAGTAGAAGGCTCGACAAGAAGAGGTCGATCATGCATC